GACGGCCGGGCCCATGAGCAGTCCCCAAAAAGAAGGCACAGTTCCACCAGCAGGAAGACAGCTATAGTCTGCATCTTAATGGGCCCCACCGCCCAGAAACTGCAGGGCGTGTCTGATGCACTGGATCCTGGCTGTGGTCCCAGCTCCCTGTAGCTGTAATTCCCTGGGGTGAAGGGCTGTTCCAGCGACCCGGAAGGACAAATGCTGTCCCCATGCCCCTCAGACACACACGGCAGGTATAAGCCTCACCTGGTCACCTGCAGCCCAAAATGTAATCCTGATATTACAGATGATCTAGAAAGATTACAGAGGGCGGACACCGGAAAACAAAGGCTTAGAAGGAAAAGGCCAACCAGCCAGAGGCCCCGTGACTGAGGGGTTTGAGGACGGGGACAATGCCTCCTGTGTCTGTGCCTCCTGCGGAAGCTGGCACTGTGCCCTGCGCATAGTAGGCACTTAGCAAATTCTATTGCTTGGTTGGCCGCTGCCTTGGGGACCTGGGGTGGGGAGGAGGAAAGTTGCAGAAAACAAGGTGTACAAAGCTGGCATCTGTGATTAGGTCACTAGAGGGCACTCCAGGACAAGAGCTGAGTCCCAGCAGCCCTCACCCTGCTGAGCTTAGAGGGACAGTTCGGAGTTCGTTTATTCATTCAACACACAACGACCGAAAAATTGCTCTGTCAAATACTACGTGCTATGAAGGACACGAAAATGATTGAGATGCGACTCCTGCCCTCAAAGATGGGGTCATGTGACTAGAAAGAGAAGAGGCACAAACTAACGTTTCCGTATTTATCTACTGGTAGCTTCTCTTTATCAAGGGCTCGGTAATCTTCACACACTGTTCCTTCTACCTATAACTCATCCCTCCCTCACGTCGGCACGCCTTCTCCTCTCTTCCACGTCTTTGCTCAAATTCACCCTTCCGGAAGCCTTCCCTTCACACCTCGTTTGAACGCACGAAGGTCACAGCACTCTCCGTCCTTTGTGTCCCCTCCGCTTTTCCCCATGACGTTCAAAACCATCTACTACGCTCCGGGACTCACACAGGTACTATCTCCATCATCCGTGCCCCCCACAGAGCTCCACGAGGGTGGCGGGGTCCATGTGTTGTGTTCACTGGTGGACACGATGCCCAGAACAGTGCTTCACACAAGTAGGTTCTCAAAACATCCTCTTTAATAAACAAGACCAGTGACAATTCTAATTAGTCCCGAGTAAACTGAGCAGCCAAGAGTCAGCCAGTGAGTATTCCTGCGGTTCGGAGGGTTTGGGTGAGGGGGGCATCGTGTGCAGTAGTGGGGTCTTCTTAGAGGAGGTGACCTTTACTCTGGTTTTGAAGGATGAGGAGCAGTTCACGGGTCAGAGAAAGTGCAAAGGGCCCTCAGGCAAAGGGATCAGCAGGAGCCAAGGCCCAGAGGCCAGCCCTGCGGGGTGCAGGGTGTGGCAGGGACA